CCCCCAGTTACACGAAGCTGAAGCTGCAGGTGAACCAAGATGGGCGAATCCCTGTGAAAAAGTGAGTGACCCCCCCAAAATTTGGGGGGGCTCCCCCCAAAGTAGAGTCCCTTAAACCTTGAGGGATCCCCCCCACAATACCCCAAATTTCACCCTAAAATTTGGGGTCCCCCAGAATATCCCCCTCCTAGGGACGCCCCCAAACCTGAATTTTGTGGTCTCCAACACTCAGTGGGGCCCCCCCCAAAAAATGTGGGGACACCCCCACTTGCAAGCTCCCTTCATTTTACAGTACCCCAATTTTTAGGGTGTCCCCACTTTTCCCACTCCGGCTTTTGGTGTCACCCAAGTTTGGGGATCCCCTTGTTACAGTGTCTGCCCAAATTTTGGGGTTCTCATGCCCCCTGTATTTTTGGGGTCCCCCATTTTTGGGATGCCCCTTTTTGGGGGTCCCACTTTTTTTGGGGTCCCTTCCAGCCCCCCCAAAACTTCTTAAACCCCTCAATACCAAGTCACGGGTCCCCCCCAATTTCAGGTTCACCCCAATTCTGGGTTCCCCCATGCTTAGGGGAGGGGCTACCCCAATTTTGTGCTCCTCCCAATTTTGGGGTTCCCCTTCAGCCCCCCCCACCTTCCTGGCACGCCTCAATTTTGGGATCCCCCCGTTTCAGCCTCACCCTTTTTCTCCGGTCCTTTGGAATTTGAGGCCCTGGGGTCCCCCAATTTTAGGGGGCCCTTTTTGGGGACCCTCTGAAGTTTTGGGGTCCCCCAATTTTGGGGTGCCCCTCCAATTTCGGGGTTCCCCCCCAGCATCCTGAAGATGTTCTCAGCTGACAAGAAGCGGGTGGAGACAGCGCTGGAGTCCTGCGGCCTCAGCTGTAACCGGGTACGGCCCCCCCAAAAAATAGGGGCCCCCCAAATTTTCAGGGGGTTCCTGAGCCTCTCCCGCCCCTGCCTGAGTTCCCGAGGGCCCCCCCAAAATATCCCATGATTCTGGTGGTGTGCCCCCCTCTATTTTGGGGTCACCCCCAAATTATCGGCATTCCCTCATCCTGCTCTGCATGTTTTTGGGGGGGCAATGATCTTTTTTATTGGGGTTCTCTGGTAAGCCCCAAAATTCTTGGGGTGCCCCCCCAAACTCTCTGTGTCCCTCAAAGTCTATACAGGGGTTCCCCAAAACCCCCCTTATCCCTCAGTGTACCCCAATTTTACACACACCCCCCACTTTTCACCTCCCCCTATGGGATCCCAACACTCTAGGGCCCCCCAACTTTAGGGTCCCCCAGAATTTTGGGGGTTCCCCCCTCCCAATTCCAATTTCACCCCTATTTCTGTGTGTCCTTGGTTTGGGGTTCAGAATTTGGGTGTGCCTATGTCATTTTTGGGGGTGCTGCCACCGTATCATCTCTATGGGTTCAACCAAGGTTTTGGGGGGCTCCTGAGTGGTTTGGGGGGAGGGCAGGGGAAGGCTTGGGGGGCTGGGGAGAAGGTCGGGGGGGTTCTTGGGCCCCCCCTAAATTTTTGGGGTGCCCCCAGAGCGAGGCGATCCCCCCTGAGGAGTTCACCCTCGACACCTTCAGGCGGTTCCTGAGCAAGCTCTGCCTGCGCCCCGACATCGACAAGATCCTCCTCGAGATGTGAGTCACCCCCCAAAGCCCCAGTTTTGGGGTGCAGAGCGTTGTGGGTGCTATGGGGAGGGTTTTGGGGTGCTCAGAGTTTTGGGGTGCCCCTGACACCCCCTTTTGGCTGTGGGGAACACCTATGAGCAGGTTGGCATGGGTGCCACCAAGAGCTTCTTTGGGGCGCTCCCCTGTACTGTTGGGTGCTCGTGAGGGTTTTGGGGTTCCCTTGGGTTTTATGAGTCCTGGGTGGGTTTTGGGGTGCTCTGAGGGTTTTGGGGTGCCCCTGACACCCCAGTTTTGGGTATGGAGAGTCTCCTACAAGAAGGTTAGGCTCCCAACTGGATGGTTGCCACCACGACCTCCTTGCAAGCTTTGGGGCGCTCCCTCACGCCGTTGGGTTATCTCAGGACTTTCAGAGTCCCAGAGGGGTATTTTGGGGGGG